TGATAACGCGAGCGATGTTTTAAAACGTGTTATTAAAGTCCGGGAAGCAGACGACACGGAGGACGATCGCGTAGCTCGCATCTGCGGCGCTCACGGAGTGATACGCGAGTGGCACATCAGGGCACTTTGAACCAGACAACAAAGCGTAGCTATGGCTTGCGAAAGGACAACGTTCTCGTCGGCTACTACATTCTACCGAAACCATAGAGAGAAACGGGAGACAAACGACGGGACGACGGCGCACGCACGGCGTGTCGCCGCACTATATCTTCTCTGCTCCGCACGACGCAGCACGCCGCCTTACAGCCACGCCATCCGCGCATGCTGGGCTCTTGCGGAAGCGACGGTCGCTTCCCGCAGTTCTGCCTTGGGTCCAACATGGCCACCCTGGGAGCACCATTGCGGAATCTGCTCCGCAAGCGGAGCACATGCAGTTGCTCTAACTAATACAAAGCCCCTCGATGTATTTGCCTTCTTAAACTTCACATGTGCCAGTGCAGCACGAGGCCCGTATCTTGAGCGGCCCTTAGACGCAAATGGAGCGCAGCACTTCAGATGACCCCCTCCCCCCCCCCCCCTTAAAAGCGAATGGCGGCGGAGCACCCGCTCACATGGCACGTGTCTTGCGCGTTTCCACAGCTATTGGCGACGTGCGCGACCGAAAGCGTCGCTGTGGCCGGCCTTCCACGATTGGCCGAACGCTGACTATGACGTCAGAAAAGGATTTATCATCGACGGAAATGAGAGGAATGAAAGATCGTTAATTTTGACGGTGTTGGCAGTGTTGCTTTGAGAGCACGATGATTTCAGGCTTCCACCGTGCTATTTACAAACACCATCGAACTTGTTGTTTGCAAGGTAATGACGTCACAAGGGGGAACGGTTGGAGGGCGCCACTAAAGCATCTCGCCGCTAATAGTCGGCGGTATTTGAAAGCGTGCATTTTATCGAGGGAATTTAACTAATTACTAGCCCTTAGCGATTTGTTTTTCCTGAATGTCAACTGCTCAAAAATTTCCCCACCTCATTAAATGGGCTAAACTTTTTAAAAAGAATGAAAAAATGGCGCGAGCGAACCAGTAATGCGTAATCCTAAGTACCTGGCACAGCGAAAAGGCATGAGACATAAAAAGGATGAACGAAAGAACGGTGTAAACTGTGTCTTTATTATTTTAGTGCTTCCTGCGTTTAATTCATTTATGACAGGTGAATAGTTGAGCGTTCAATAAACCTTTGCTGCATATTAATAATGCCGACGGTACGCAGCAAACAAGACATCCCTTTATACATTTAACTTTCGAATTCACTAATTCATCTTTCGAACGTTCCGACCGGTTAAATGAGCAACTTTTTTTTTTGGCAGTTATTGCGTTTTTTGTATATTTATCCCTACTCTCGAGAATTTTTTTTCACTATGCAATTAGTATGTGGAAAACACAGTGGGCTTCTCGCCTCGCATCCGCGATTATAGAAAGCGATTGTGAACGTTGAACGCTGCAATAGACCGATCTTACTAAGCGTCCCACAGGAGCGTGACCCCGCAACAACTGCAGTTCATAGGTGGCAGACGCCAGTTGGACAAAACAGCCCTTGCCGCTCCGTGCTGTGCTCGCAGGGACCGTCAGCACGGTTCCCGCGCGTGCGGAAAGACTACACACAGTTCCCATGGTGCATGCCGGCAGCAGTGGCTAAGTGAAACTGGTTGTGATATCGGTCATCGTGCAATTATGCGGAGCCGCTCAAAGCTTGAGCCAATTTATTAATTTATTTTCTGATTATTCGGAACGAGTTTTCAACCTTTCTAGTAAAAATACAAGACGACATTGAATCACATAAGAGATTAGTAGACTTAAAAAGTATTAATAAGACGATAGCAAAAAAAAAATGTATAGTATTTTGACGTGACTGTATTATTTTCAGTGCAGTTTACGCATCGCATTTTGCACGGTTTTATGCCTCTATTTTGTATAAAAGTTAATGCTTAAAGTCGTCACAATTCAAACGGTTGAAGCGCCGACAGGAGGCATTTTTCACAACCGGTAGTTCTAAACTTTCGAGATCCGCATTCTCGAGAAGTTGTAAGTAGAGAACTTCGCGGTAATTACTTTCTTCCCTTTTCGTAATGTAAATTAAGTGACGGAAATAACTTATTCTCCATTTTGAGCCCATCCTTCTAATCCTGACTTCTCATCATCCTTTTATTTTTATTTATTTTTGCCTTGAAATTGGTCAATTTAAAGTTCGCAAGCTCTCATTTAAGCAACCGGAACACCGCGTTTGAAATCCGAGGATCCATTTAGAGACGCCGCAGAAAACGAGCACGAATAATAAATGAAGAAAGCGAAATAGAGAGAAGCCATTTTGCTAGCACGGTCGGAGCGCAAATCCGATGTCGGCAATTTCCGAGAGGACTGTGACCCACTCTGCCCAGCGTCGGCCCCTTGTGCCCAGACCCCGGGGCCTGTCTTCCACTTTCTGAGCCAACGTGTGGGACGAGAGCGCCTCCGAAGCCACCCTTTAGGTTCCCGGATAATCACGCTCTAAAAGGGGAAAGAGCGAGGAGTGAGAGGGTCGCCTATACTTACCGCAGTGAGAGGATGGCCTGCTGAGGTGGAAAATGCCAATTGCCGCTGTCCTTTGATGTTCCTGGATCGACAAAAAAACTAAAACCCTAGCGAGTTTTTTTTTTTTTTTTTTTAAATTAGAGGAGGCTGGTGTCGATACACTTCTCACCGTGCGTATAGGCGGAAATTTTCTCATTTGCGGTCAGAGCTGTGCTTGTTCATCTACCATCTCTTTACGTAATAAGACCCTAAAATTGAGAATATCATTTCTTAATCATTGCGGAAGATTGGTGGCCTAGAAAATGAAAGGGGGGGGGGGGATCAGTAACCGAGTATGTTAACGAACTGCAGCTCAAAGCACGTGTAGCAAAATCTCGCGCTTCAGAACCCTGCAGGTACCCCAGGATCCTAGGTTCAATCCCCACCCCTACCCGTTTCGATCTGGATGAGCATCGTACCGGCGTGCGGTCCTGTATCTCTACTGCGTGGTGCACGTTCAGGGCCTTATAGGCTAGCGGTCGCATTGCACCAAATGAATTCCACATCCACAGCTGAGACACCAGATGCCGACTTAGGTTGACTGACTTGCGGCTTTATAAACATGCACGCAGCATGATAAATATTATTATTGTTTGCTAGTCGGCGAGGAATAGGATGTGGTGTGATTTGAAATTCGTTAGTTCCGGAGAATGGCGGTTGAACTTTGAAGGGATGATCGAAACGTAAAAATGCTCCTGAAAATAAAGCCTACGAAACTAAGGTGCTAAATAGTAAATGAAACAAAACTGAAAATGATCACACGGTTCTTTTCTTTTCAAATTTTTTTTTTTTTTACATCGAATTCAACTTTTTTTTATATCTTATATTTTTCGACATTGGATATCTAAGCAGCGGTCGTAACAGTTTAAACTTGATGAAAGCTGCCATTGCGACTTAGTTGAAATCTAAAATAAGATACTGGTTGTTCGCGTTCAAGTTTTTTTTCCCCAGCTTTGTTCTGCCCGAAAACGTTCTACAACTACACAACAAGTGATGAACCGAAAAAAAAAATATTTAAACATTTTGCCTCGTCTTATTGTATAGAAGCACCAAAAAGAACAAAAAAAAAAAAGAACAGGTACTAACATTTCGAAAACAAACTGAATTCTACCTCCGTGTCTTTTTCACTCCCTCACCATCCTAATATTTTCTTCTTGTTCTACTTCTGTTCCGTCCCCCCCCCCCCCCCCCCCCCCCCTGCCACTTAGTGAGAACAAAAGTAAACGTCTTCTCTATTCTGCAGTCAAACTCTATAGGAACACGTACTTAATAAAGTATGTCGCCCACATAAAATGATTACCGTTCACATGACCCGTACTTGCACGACAAGTGGTAATTGGGTGACACTAAGAGTACCAATCTTTAAGAGTATCCACGGTGTTTCAGATGACTTGTGCCGAGAGCCAGGGAAAGGTAGTCGTCGCGACGCCCGTCGAACCGTGGAGAGATCATATTGTACGCTACACTCTCAGGACTTGTGCGCGGCAAAGGCAAAGCCATAGACGCGGGCACATAGCTTTCAGATTTGCTTTCCTTTCGCG